GCCCTGTGCTCCAGGGCTGACCTCCTGTGCTGGCTGTAGCCTCATTTGGAGATATTCTCAGGCAAAAGTGATCTACTTCCAAAAACATCCAGCCTGACCTGCACCTTGCAGCTACAACTTTGGGGTCTGTGGCTGCAGTGAGAAGGATGAGGACAAGAATTGCAGCCTGAGAAAAGGCTGAGAGTGTCACACATGGTGCCAGAGACCGGCATGTGATTAGCAACCAGGGCTGACTTACAAACTGCTAAAATGTTTTATAAATGTGTCTGTGTTATGAGGAATAAACTTATACAGGAGATCAAAGCATGTGTTTGGTCATATGAAGGAGAATAAAAGTAATTTCCAAGAGGATTAGTGTTTCTGTACACACAAAGTTTCAGAATCATTGAAATTAATATCCTCTAAGCTCTCTGCCATCTCTGAAGTGCAATTCTTCGAATTACTTTGGCACATTTTGTCAGAGAGCAAAAAACCCCATCCAGCCAAAGAAACCCCAACCCCTGAGCCCACTGTTGGAAGTAGTTTGCCAGCACTTCACACAAGCACTACTGAAATGCGGTTCACGAGTGTTGAGCCTTGCAATCTTTTTTTGAAAAAAAACATTTTTTTCATTGCACTTGAAATAAAAAGGAGTTGGTATATGAAAATCAAAGTACTGCATGCCTCAAAAGATAACAGAAGTTTATTACAATATAAAGGCTTTCAGCATATGTGAATGCCTATTTTATCTGAACACATTAGCATAGTTATTAGTCATCCTAAATGATTAAATTTTCCTCTCATCCACCTAATCTGCATTATAAATGAATATACTAAAAAGCAATGCACTTTGTTGATAAAGCACTGACTTGGCAGTCAGGAGACAGGGTTTGTTTCTCAGCCTTTCAACTCAGTTTAGTTGAGTTGGCCCAGGCTGATCATTTTGCCTTAAAATGCTTCAGCATCTCAAACTGACCTATCTGATTAAAAGCATCACTATCCAATCAATACCAATATCCAATCAATATCCATCAATGCCCAATCAATATTTTAAACTGTTTTATGGTGTTTCATTATTTATTATCATAGGAAACCCTGTTAATGATGCTTAATGAAAGGGGAGAAACCGTTAGGCTGTGGATTTTGATGTGCTGTAATATTCATGGAGTGACAGAAAATCACAGCAGCTTAAAAGCTGCCAATCTGAAACTTGGGGTATGAACAAGTATTTTTAAATATTTTTTTCTGAATGAATGAAAAAGAGCAGAGTTCCCCCTTGCAGCAGTGGCAGCTCCTGTGGCTTAGAGCACTGCCTCCTCTGCCTGGCTGGCTGTCTTTTCAGCAGCAATCGCTAGAGAGGAATTAACTCATAGTATGTTGGAGTGAAAACAAAAGAAAATTTAGTTTTGAACTGTCCAAAGTTGATTTCATTGTGCTCTTGATCAAAGACCAGGTTCTGCTCTTCAATCCCGTCCTTCCCACCTTTTAAGCATTGCTGTGGCAATCTGTGGCAGCCTGGAGTTGAGTGTGGATGCCCAAAGATAATGTGATTTTCCTTCTCCCAGAAGTGATGGGATGGTCTCTAGATCTACCTGTCTCCTCAAGAAGCCCATAAGCCTTGGTCACAAACCACGTGTAAGGAATAGAGAACTGTCAAGGGCCCCACAGCTCCTCGTGTGTAGGAGCTGATGCTGGGAGCTGTGCACGCCCTTCCCAAGAGGGCAGGTGAGATTGCCTGATCATCAATGTGCCCACCAGGGATAGCCTTCATATTTCTTATGGTTTTGCTGTGCCTCAAAAAGTTTATATTGCTCTCTTTTGTGTGTTACTTACACTTGGGACCATACCTAACTCGTTTTTGTTACGGCCAAGCCAAACCAGTACGTTCAATAGCAAAGTCCTTCCTTCCTGATAGGATGGGCTGAAAAAGGATTGTGGCAGTTTGCTTAAGTAGGGTGGGGCTGGTACCAATAAATAGTTGAATTCCCCTGGAGGTCAATAACATAGAAAATGAAAAAAAAATCTCCCTGGATGATTGTGTAAGGATCACCTCTGATTTAGTCATATTTCCATGAAGCCTTGCTCCAGTGGAGTAATGCTCCAGGACTTCTTCAGGCATTGAACATAGATTTGTGTTTTACTGAGATAAAGCAGGATGTCATCTGTGAAAAGAGCAATTTATGTCTTTTGTCATGGATTGTGACGCCTGAAATCTCTGGAGACTTTCTGATAGCTATTGCTAGCGGTTCAGTGGACAGAGCAATCAGAGGAGGTGACAAAGGACACACTTGCCTTCTGCCTCTCTAAGGAAAAAGTCATTCAAATAAAGGAGTCTCAGAGAGTCATTCAAACAAATGAGTGCACACCCTCTGGCTTTCTGCGGGCTTAATGAACCCTATTCACCAGAAGCACAGCCTTGTTGACAAGCCTCTGTCTTTGGAGGCAGAAGGAGAATGCTGAAGGAAAGTCAGAATTGTTTTCTCTGAAGGAGAGGAAGGACAATTTTCTGCCCTTGCCTGGGATTTTGGGAGCTGCACAGTCCTGGGCGTGCAGCGACCTACTTGCTCCGCTGGCTCAGGCTTTGCTTTTCTTCCTGGGATTTTGCTCTGATTTCAAACAAACATTTGCTTCTCTGTGAAGAAATGGGTTTCACACAGTCCTGAGGCAATCACAATTTTAGGAGAGCCTATTTGCTTCTTCCACTGCCTTGTATTTTATATGAGGGCAGCAATTTTGTGCATGAAATAATTTCAAGAGCTGGCAAGTTGCAGAAATGTCTGAATTGTTAAGTGACTATGAAGCCATATCACACAACAGTGTTTTGTTTTGCTTGTTTGGTTTGTTGGGTTTTTCAAGTTTACGTTCCCCTCCCCTGGGATAAAAGACAGCGAAGCAAAGTGGCTGCTCAGCTTCATGCACCGAGTTGCCCACAGTGCCTTTGATCTACAGCCCCCTCGCCCATATGTGCAGCCATGTGCTCACATAACTCTTCCTAACTGTGGGAAATGAAAAGGAAAATGTTAAATTTGGTAATATTTATCACAATCATTTGTCAAGAGCAAGAGAGAAACTACCGGTCTATTGAGAAATGTGGCCTTTTAATAGTCATCTAGGATTATCCATTTATGTGAGTAATAAAAATCTCTTACGCAGATAGAGAAAGTAGGGTAAAAACTTTATAAGGGGGTATATATTCTCTAGCACAGACAATGACTGAAGGCCTTGGAGTTTGAAGAGAAATGTCAATTCATCGAGGCTTTGTCTTTTTTTTTTTTTTTCCCAAGCTCTTAATTCTGGAGATTTCATGGAAATAATTGAGTTTTCTACTATTGGACCAAGACTTAAAAGAAAGAGATTATTAAATATCTCACCATTTAATATCTAGATAATTTTGTCCAATAAAATCCTGTGCAGCGAGTAATTTAAATTGGTACCCTATTTATGGCAGACAAAACTGCTCACTACCATCTGCTTCGTGGTTTTAATAGATGAAGTGTTAACTGCATGTTGCATAAAATTCATTGCGACTAGGTTAATTAAATGGCTGTGCTTCACTTCCTGCACTCTGGTAATAAGATGACAACCTCATCTGAATTTATTAACCCTTGCCACCTTCAGTACTGTTATCACCCATTCAACCACCTTTGGTCAACAAAAATGAAATAAATCACAATAACGGGAGACATAACCATATTGGCTAACAAAATAGATATTGATTAGCATCTTCTAAAGCAAATATGTCAATCTAGTCTGATTTTATTTTTGCAAAGGTCATTGAAATCTGCTGCAGTATCAGTTGTGTGAGTAAATGATGATGCAGTAGTTATTGGAAAACACTGCAAATCTAATCTTTGGTGCCAAACAGTCAAAATGACAGCTTCACTGTGGGAAGCTGGAGAGGCCTTCAGAGTCTACAGCTTTCTATTCAAGCAGACATTAAATAGCCTTCTGCAGCACAGGCCCTTACAGAGGGCTCAAAGCCAGACCTCTGAGTGTCACTCCAGTCAGAGTCATTTCTGTCCCCTCCAAAGAGGGAGCATGAGGTAAAACTGCTTCATCTACATCCATGCCCTGGACACCCAGCAGATGCAAGGACACTTCTTAGCTATGGCCAATAGAAACAATCTGCAGGTGGGACTGGGCTGCTGCATGGTGAGGAAGGACCTGACAGAGGCAGCTCCACCCTCTTCTCCACCACTTACACTCTTCAGATACAGTAATTTCACGACCATAAGGCTCACCGGACTATAAGGCGCACTTTCGGATTTGAGGGAAAATTTTAGTCAAAAGGCTGCGCCTTATAGTCGTGAAATTACTGTATTTAGAAAAGTAATTTTGGGCAAGTGCGCAAAAAGAAGTCTTGTTTGCTCTGCTGAGATTTACCAGGAGAGATCAACACCATGCATCAAAGCCATAGTAATTTTTGCCCTGCTGATACAGGCATTGAAGTCATTTTGGAGAACTTCCAGTCATTCACACAGATCCCATCACTGTACATGGCTGTAGGTTTCCCTCTCTGCCCTGCTCTCACCTGGCTACTGGCTCTGAAAACAGCTCCTGTGTCATGTTCAGCCCCCTGGTCTAAGCAGGTTCTGTCTTTAAGGGCATTTTTCTGTGGCCTAGTGAGGGAAGTCACATGGCTCTCCCCTTCTCTGTGCCAAAGTGGTGGGATGAAATCCAGCTCTGGTTCACAAGTTCAGCTGCTCCAAACTGGTTCAACCTGTCTTCCGTGTTACTGTGCCAGCATGGGCCTTTGTCTTCCAGGCACCTAGATAAGATTTGTTTTTTAAACACAACAGGGAAGTTTTAATTTATGCTGAGTGTTGTAGTTAGAAATAAGTCCATAGGATAAATCAGAATTTATAACTGTATATACACCAGAACAAAATATCTTTCTCCACTAGTCAAGAGGCTGCCAGACTTCCCCCATTCTGCCCCCACACCCAGCTCCCAAACTTGTCCCTGCCCCAGCCATAACACAAAACAGCAAAATCAAAGCAACTTGCCCCATACAGTCTCACCAGGAGACCATCAGATGAACTGATTTATTTCCCAGATACTTGAAGTCTGAGCCTGATGTCAGCAGGCACTGCAACCAGATTTACCAAAAAGTCCCTGCCCAGTTCCCAGAGCCTTCAGTTCCCAGAGCAGACTGGAAGAGGAGCTTTGGCAAAGTTCTGGTAGGCAGAGGGTAGGATGGATGGCATACCTGGAATTTAATGAAACTATTACTGCAGCTATCAGCTTCCTGTGACTAGGAATGAAGATGACATTGGTAACCATTGGATGCTATCTCTGAATATTCAGTCTTTCAAACACTTTTTTTGCCTGATTATTGTTATCAATGAATAAGCTATTAAAAAATAGTGAAGGAAAGCCTGCTTTTCAATCTTTTCCTTTCAAGATTAATTTACAGTCCCAATTTTTACCAGATTATCCCTTAGAGACCTGAAGTTCCCTGACAGTATTTATTGTAATAAATATTACTTGATTTTGAATTCTGCTTAAAGATACTCTTGTACAAGGAAGTAACATTTCAGGCACCTATTATTCACGTGCTTTAAAGAACTCAGCATAGAACTTCTGTAGTTCCCAGGAGCACTTTCCTCTCATGGGTTTTCCTGTAGAGTCACACAGCATTTGAAATGCTGGCCAGGTGCACCATGCTCTCAAGCAAAATGGGTAACATAGACAGATGGTGTCATGCTAACCCAAATTTAACCTTAAAGGTTGAAATTCAGTTTTTGGAGGGAGGTTCATGCATTAACTGAAGCTGCTGCAAGTCCTATTCCAAAAGCATATGTAGGAAATATCCTCTATAGGGTTTGTGGGATTCTCTGCATGAGAGGTGGATGGGGTTTGCTGTGGTTGTTTCCTCACACAATTGTGAGACACAGACACAAATATCATGTTTGACTCATCTATGGGTGCACTTCCTGAGTATGGCAGGTATTTGCACCTTCCCCAGTAAAAGGTTAAAATCTCTGCACATTTTCCAAGTATTGAAATATTTTCCATCCCAGAGGCAACCAGTTCAGTGGGGAACAGCTCACATCTTCATTGGGGCGTGGACAAAGGGCTTCTTTCGACAGTTTTGCACACCACAGTTAAATTATAGTACCTCCTGATGTTTTTTGACTCCTCACACAAGACACAATGCTAATAATAATACACACTGTGTTTTGCATCTCCCAACACTGCTGGCAAGTTCAATACAGTAGGATGAAAGTTTTCAGTGGAAAGAGTAGGAAACAAGATGCTCTATTGGAAGCCAGGAGTCAGATTTTGAGTGTTCCTGCTCAAGAAACTACAATTAGGGATTTGAACAGATCCAGGGGCACATGTGCACCCTTAGCAATGTCTTGAATGTATCCATTCATGTGCTGGAGATAACAGGGCCTTTACTGAACGTTCCCCTTTGTTGCTTCATGTCCACAGGAGGGCACCCAGGGCAGGGAGATGAGATCATGGCCAGCCCCTCTGGTCTGGTAAGTGGAGAGCAGCTTCTCCCCTTGCTGTGCTCCACGTTTGCCACAGAGTCAACAAATTTAGTGAGCCAAGCTGTCTTAATTCTTATAGAAAGGAGTAAACTAAAGATCTTCTATTTTTGGAGCACAAGCAGTGGGTGATCAGCGCATTCATCAAAACATCAGCACACTGGTTCAAGTCCCTGGTCTGCACCAGGCATGCAGAAGATATGCTCAGATAAAATTCCCATTAAGTGTTCATCTGTCCACAAGCTCTGGGTAAATTGCAACACCAGGGTGTCATGAACCTGACGGAAAAGCAGATGGAAAGAAAATGAAACAGAGAGACATCTGAACCCGTTAAAATGAGATGTGGAGAGAACAGCCCAGCAGTCCCCTCTTGCCTGCATTACCCAGCCAGCCCCAGTGCCTGCCTTCTGCAGTGATGCAGCAGCACTCAGCTGTACAAAGCCCTTTAGGTACAGAGGGTAAAATCTCAGGCCAGGAACACACAGAGATGCTGGTGAAAGATCAGTGATTACTGAGACACCAGTGGGGCACTGCAGACGCAAATTGTGGCCAGAACATTGACCTAGACCTCGGCTCTGTGATACTTCCTATTTAAAGAAAATAGAACAGCTTTACACACCACCCTCCCCTTGCCCACTGTGCTTGTAGGTGGATCAATCCTGCTTGTTCTTCAGGTCAGCTGGTGGCTCTCATAGCTACGACAAACTGCC